GGCAATTGATTTTTGCCATAAAAGTAGCTGAAGACAAAGCGTGCCTGCAGGTCCATCATTTGCGCGGCGCACACATAGAATGGCAAACCAATCAGCGCCATAGTGGGATTTCGTATATTGATGCACTGCTTATAGAGCATTTGCACCCAATTGTCCTCGACATAGATGCCAGCATTAATGCTGAGAAACGGAAAAGAATACTTATACCCGGTGCAGTAGAAAATCGTATCGAATTCCTTGTAGGATCCATCCACAAAATATGCGCCATTCTCGTCCAGCTCCCTGACATCCGGCTTAGTCGTGACATTTTCAAGGAATATCGAATTCGAAATACCCTCCAAATGGTGGCTAAGAGTCACTTCCTTTGCCGCCTTTGATATGATATTCGACAAGTCCAAGGCACTTGGTCCGCCGCCAATCACTAAAACGCGTTTGCCTGTAGAAATCGTTAGAAATGAAAAGTATATTTGATAATATAATAGTAAAATATAAAAACTACCTTGGAACACGTCGCTTTTTCGATAATCATGGCTGTGCATGTATTCACCTTTAAACAGATTCGCGTTCGGGATTTGTATATAATTCGGGGTATGATAATGCCCATTTGCTATGATTATTTTATCAAAATAATAATATTTCATAGCATTTGTCAAGAGATTCTTGACAAGGACCTAGGAAAATATAAAATAAAACGATCAGATCAATCAGATCAAAATTGATTTAAATTCTATATTCTACTTACTTGCCATTTATCCTTCTTCTTCAATACCCGCAATACATACGATTGGAAAATGATATATTTTCTCAATTCGAAATGATCAGCATAACGATTCAAAAACAAGACAATATCTTGAGATGATATATAGGAATCTTTGTGTGCACCGATCTCAAAATCCGGAAATCCCATCACCTCCTTGGGTAAATTAGTACTAAATATATACAAATATATTATATATAAAAACATTTACCTTTTTATGATATTTGTAGTTGTTAACATACCGCAAATTCTCATACATACTGCTGTGCACATCGATGCCATTGATTGTTCCAGTATTCTCGTTATAAATCCATGTGCCACCGATTTGATTTGAAAGTTCAAAAACTGTCGGAATTTGATTATTCTCAAGTGCACGCCGAGCACAGCAAAGTCCAGCGGTGCCAGCCCCAATTATGCACAAACTCATTATTCCACACTTCGAATCGATGTTGCTCAATGCAAGCGCTTTAATTGAATATTACGATTATTTCCATTGCCCTATTAATTTATGTATGCATGCGAGCAGATGAGCAAGTAATCTACACCACTATCTGAAGCTTGATTATACCCGTTTAGGCTTGCTAGAGTGAGTATATTAG